CCTTTTACCGGTCGTCCGGTAAATATCAGGACCCATCAGGATCGTATTTCGCTGTGTACCAGTTTCCGTATAAATCTATTCTTTCATTCGCGTCGAGGGACGCATATAAATACCACTCCACCCGTCCACGTAACTGCATAGAACGCACATCCCTCCACTGAACTGCAAACGGCCCTTTGAATGCCATTATCCTACCTACGTTGTTACTACTTAACGTCCGCAAGTGTGGCTGCGTTAGATAACGAGAGCCTGGCCGTTGTTCCCGATCGGTTTTGCCCGTGAACGGTTGTCTGTCGGGATGCTATGAGTCTGTGTGTCAATTTAAACTTTGACCTACCAGCACCATTCCGCTCCGTTTACCATAGACTCACCTACGCCACTCACTGTAACCTTCGTCTACTATCGCCAAATTATTTTGCTCGAATAGAATTTAATGTGTCTCTTTTGTACATCTTTCGGATGTAATTATTTCAGCGCAGAAGAAGAAGAAGAAGAAGAAGAGATACGACTATGGAAGAAACAATCATTTTTTGGAAATATTTCTTAAAGAGATTTAAAAAAAATAATAAATAGATAGGGTGAATAGATTGTACGTCAAATAAATTGTATTTGAGTTGGATGTGCTATTTATTTAAACTTGTTGTTTATACTCGTTTGATTAAATAATACTGCTATAGGTTTTTTTTTCATTTCGAGAGCAGTTGCCTCTACGAGATACCATGATGAGCTTTGCTACGTTAATCTGTATCGACACAGCGGAAGAGAAATACGCAACTAGGAAGGAGGGCAAATCGATATCGTTGCTCTCCCGTGAGTCTCTGTACACATGGAGAGGAGAATAAGCGTTATATATATATACTTGTGGTACAGCTCTGTGAGAAATTGCGTTTTCGAGTTTTATGGTAGATGTTAACGCATCTCAACAATGCTGCAGAAAAAATATCTTCTTTTTAATTATCATTATCCTCATTATTATATATATTCATTACTATTATCGTTATTATTCTCACTAGCTTCTTTTTTCCTCCTATCTTTTTTAAATACATATTCTTTAAAAAAAATACAATGTTTTTCTATTACTCGTTTTTCTGTGTTTTTTTTTATTTGAAAATTTTGGAAATATATTTGTAAAAATTTGAGATTCTAAGGCGATGTAGTTGCTTGTGTGAAGCGTCACCTAGGTTGGTTTCTGTTCTTTAAAATCTTGTAGCACTGTTGATAAAATCAAACAAGAATTGAGAGAGTAATTCAATAAGATATTACCGATAATTTTATGAAAATTCTTATGAAAGCTAAAAATTTAGTTATTATTTGTAGGTAGTGAAAATTTTATATCGATAGTTGATATTGTTATCTTTAATAAATTATCTCTGAACTTTATTAGTTAATATTTATAACAATATCGTCAATGAGCAACTCTTCCCATACTGTGACGTCCTCTTGATAAACTGTGAGAAGCTATAAGTCAACTGCACATAAATGATAACAATATCAACGAGATACTAATTATTAAAGACCGTCAACTCCAGATAAATTTTCGGCGGTATAAAAAGGGCCCGAAGGGCTCGCAGGTAATTGAAGAACGCTGACATTATCGACAATTGATATAAATTTGCTATTATTATACATAAATATTTAGCTTATACGTTATTAAATTCATGATTTTTTATTACATAAACGTTCCATAAATAATTATGCATACTTGTAAAGCTATAATATCTTATATATCGTAGAACAATTACAATTTTCTCTCTGCAATTATTATTTCTGTTGATAATAAAACTTCGATGATAACACTGAAATCACAATTTTAAAGAAAAATCGAGTATTATTGAGTTCTAAATGCATAAATACGTCTGCTAAACTAATAAATCATAAAATTAATATAATATTATCAGTTTTTAACTCTTAATTACTTCAATATTCACAAGGACGCGAACTCCCGTAAGGATGTCGGTCTTTAATAGTATCTCGTCAATGTAACAACTAAAAAATATAATTGCGTAAAAGTATATAACATATCATTAAAAAATGTGTATGAATGGTTATGAAATATCAAAATTAATCGTACAATTATTTAAATATTGAATTATTGGTAACATAGCATTTCAAATTATTACCAAACTTATTTAATATTTCGATAAGCATTTCAGGACTTTGAAGAATCGATATATATATGAGCATCGACGGATGATATAAAGATCTCTAGTCTTACAAAAGTTGTGCAACTGTGAAAAATTTTGCAATAAACATAGTAAGCATTTAAATTTTCGAGTGTGTTACAAAAAGTTTCAAATTAATTTTTACAAATTTGAAAACTTACTGAAATTTATATTTTATTCAAACTGAGAATAACATTCGAAATTCAATAGTTTTATCAGCTTGAATTACAAAATACAATTTTAAAGATATCCGAAATGTACATATATTTTTAAGAATTTTTGCATAGCTTGAGTTTTAACTAAAAGATAAAAAAATGTATAAGATAATATGCGAAATAATTATCCGCTTATCAGTAACTATAATATAGATGAATGAAATATATATAAAATCTTTATAGTATAATTAGAAGTAAAGATTTAATATAAGCAAGATAAAAGTTTTTTTTACTTTAAAATATTACTATTAGAAATCTATTTGATAATTTTGATATGTTTCAATAATTTTGAATTCAACGCTAAGAAATTTTAATGCTTGATATATCATTTATAAGATTTTTCTTTTTAAGCCTTTACGTCAAGAGTTTTATCTTGTCCACACAATCTTGTTTGAAGAGGTCATAAGTCGTAAAGCCTTAAGAAATTGACTAATCATAGTTGAATATGAGAAAAATAATCGAGCTTACGGCCTTCTAAAGCAAGGTTGTAGACAAGGTCAATAGTCTTTTCACTGATTTATTACTCTTTTGTCTTTGTATAAAGAAAATTTAGAACTATTTCGGACACTATAGCGATTGAAAAATATTTTAATTTTAAACGTAGCAAGTGTCCAAATATTTTGTGAATGTTTACAAATATCTTACGATGTATGAAACAAATAGCTTTCTATAAACGTCGTCGTTTAGACACAAATAACAGTTTTCGATTGCAAAGAGAAAACAAGATTTCCAATATGTTTCAAATGTATCGTGACATTCGTGACTCATTGAATTGAAGAAAAGTTCGAAAACTTATAATTGGAAGAATTGAGTGGATTGTCGGATTCTGCAACCGCACCCGAGTTCCTCTAGTTGAGGACGTTTCCAACAGGTGGATCACTAAGCTACAACGCGACCCTGCGTCCCGAGAGGCTTCAGTTCAGTAGCGTTCTATCGCCGCGGCGTGCGATTGTTTGGGTCGGGTGGATTCGCGTCGCCCTGCACTCCTGTATACCGTCGGTGTGACAGTCGCGAGTGCACCGAGGACGAGAACCGGAAGCGCGCCCGCAGTCGCCTCGCGTCGCTTCGCGAGGGTCTTCGGATTTTTCGTCCTCCTTTTTTTTTCTTCTCGCGCGAATGGCAAAGAGGTGCGAGCGATTTATACGCGGGTAAGTACTATTGTCTGGTCGTTCCCATTATTAGAATCGGACTGTGCTCCGGATCGATACTGATTCTCTGTCGTCTCTCGGCGACGGATACCTCGCGCAACGGATGCTGCGGCGAGAGATTTTCTAACGTGCGGAAGGAGGTCGCGGAAAAATTTTTCACGCATCCCCGTCGCAATCGAGACGCGTCGACTCGTATTCTCAGCAGATTAAATTCCGGAGATGCACTCTTTCGACAAGAGTGGAAATTTCGATGAAGCGAAGGAATAAGAAATGACACTTGTCATTTATCACTTGTAGATTATTCCTGTAGAAAAAATATAGTGTTACATAATATATTTCTTGATTCAAAAGAGACTATAATGTAGAAATAAATTAATATTGATCTTCTTGAAGTTAACATGATTTGTAATTTAAATCTGAACTTATTATTGACTTATTATTGATTTTATAAAAAATCTTCTCTTTTTTAATTAATTTCTTATTTTTTAAATTAGTACTTATATATATA